AATGAGGGCAAGGAACACCCGGTCCGCCCAGGGCAGAAAACCGCTTAAAGGCATTCTTTTTTTTGTTTGTTTTTTTGTTTTGTTTTGTTTTTGTTTGTTTTTTTTTTTTTTGAGACGGAGTCTCGCTGTGTCTCCCAGGCTGGAGTGCAGTGGCGTGATCTCGGCTCACTGCAAGCTCCGCCTCCCGGGTTCACGCCATTCTCCCGCCTCAGCCTCCCAAGTAGCTGAGACTACAGGCGCCCGCCACCGTGCCCGGCTAGTTTTTTTTTTGTATTTTTAGTAGAGACGGGGTTTCACCATGTTAGCCAGGATAGTCTCGATCTCCTGACCTCGTGATCCACCCGCCTCGGCCTCCCAAAGTGCTGGGATTACAGGCTTGAGCCACCGCGCCCGGCCTTAAAGGCATTCTTAAGCCACAAACAATAGTATGAGCGAGCTGTGCCTCAAGGACATGCTCCTGCTGCAGATAACTAGCCAACGCCCATCCCTTTATTTCGGCCCATCCCTTTGTTTGCCATAAGAAATACTTTTAGTTAATCTACAATCTATAAAAACAATGCTTATCACTGGCTTGCTGTCAATAAATACGTGGGTAAATCTCTATTCGAGGCTCTCAGCTCCGAAGGCCGTGAGACTCCTGGTTTCCCACTCCACACCTCTGTATTTCTGTGTGTGTGTCTTTAATTCCTCTAGCGCCGCTGGGTTAGGGTCTCCCCGACTGAGCTGGTCTTGGCATGTCTCTACTAAAAATAAAAAATAAAAAAAAATTAGCCGGGCGTGGTGGCGAGCGCCTGTAGTCCCAGCTACTTGGGAGGCTGAGGCAGGAGAATAGCATGAACCTGGGAGGCGGAGCTTGCAGTGAGCAGAAATCACGCCCCTGCACTCCAGCCTGGGCGACAGAGTGAGACTCCATCTCAAAAAAGGAAAAAACAAAAAAAACTTACTGAGACCGTGGCTGGGCGAGGTGGCTCACGCCTATAATCCCAGGACTTTGAGAGGCCGAGGTGGGTAGATCACCTGAGGTCAGGAGTTCGAGACCAGGCGGGCCAAAATAGTGAAACCCTGTCTCTACTAAAAATACAAAAATTAGCCAGGCATAGTGGTGGGTGCCTGTAGTCCCAGCTACTTGGGAGGCTGAGACAGGAGAATTGCTTGAACCCGGGAGGCAGAGGTTGCAGTGAGCCAAGATCATGACATTGCACTCCAGCCTGGGTGACAGAGCGAGACTCCGTCTCAAAAAAAAAAAAAAAAAAAAGTCTTCTCAGGTGAATTTTGGAGAGGGTCATTCCAGTTCAGCAGCACCACACACCTGTAGGCAGCAGCAGGCATGGGCGAGCCTTTGTGTATCCTGGCCATCAGCCCATGATCGGCAGCTTTTGCAATGAAGGAAGCACTGCTAGGCCGGGCGCGGTGGCTCACGCCTGTAATCCCAGCGCTTTGGGAGGCCGAGGCGGGCGGATCACAAGGTCAGGAGATCGAGACCACGGTGAAACCCCGTCTCTACTAAAAATACAAAAAATTAGCCGGGCGCGGTTGTGGGCGCCTGTAGTCCCAGCTACTCGGGAGGCTGAGGCAGGAGAATGGCGTGAACCCGGGAGGCGGAGCTTGCAGTGAGCCGAGATCGCGCCACTGCACTCCAGCCTGGGCGACAGAGCGAGACTCCGTCTCAAAAAAAAAAAAAAAAAAAAAAAGGAAGCACTGCTGTCAGACTGGGAAGGAAGCTGAGGACATACTGATGAGCTTCAGTGGCCACCAGGGCGTGGCCCGGTCAACTGACTGGAGAGACAGCACCGACGTGGGAAAGTGTCAAGGGTAGGGAGGCCGTGAGGCGCCAGCCATCACCCCCAGCAGGGATTAGAGGTCTGATGGAATCAGTTTCCCGGGAGCTGGGGTGGGGGAATGAAACCACCTTTGCAAAACGGTGACTGAGACAGTGAAAGAGATCTAACTTAACCAGCTCCCTCTTGCTTCTAACCTCCAAGCTGTCCTTGTTCAATCCTGGGCGTAGGCTGAACTAACTTTGGGAGCAACTTAGTTTATAGGTTATAGTTTCAAACAAAGACGACACAGACACAGCCCTTTCCCAAAAACAAACCTCCTTCTTGCCTGGGGACTAGACTACTGACATCAGCCACAAGATGAGAAATTATGGTCTAGGAGTCACGCGGCTGGAGGCTGCAAGAGTCTGACCCTCCCTCAACTGCTCTTAAGATCACTGCTCGAGATGTTTTGCAGACCCTGCTCTTGAGGATCAGCTGGCACCACCCAGATGGATAAAGTGGCTCGTCTGATCTTGTGGCCTCACCCAGGATCTGACTCAATTTAAGGAGACAGTGACACCTTATAATTTCATCTCCAACTCAATCGATCGGCACTTCGGGCTCACCGCCCCTCCCCACCCACCAAACTGTCTTTAGAAACTTTGATCTAGGCTAGGCCGGGCATGGTGGCACATGCCTGTAATCCCAGCACTTTGGGAGGCCAAGACGGGCGGATCATGAGGTCAGGAGATCGAGACCATCCTGGCTAACACGGTGAAACCCCGTCTCTACTAAAAAATACAAAAAAACTAGCCAGGCGAGGTGGCGGGCGCCTGTAGTCCCAGCTACTCGGGAGGCTGAGGCAGGAGAATGGCGGGAACCCGGGAGGCGGAGCTTGCAGTGAGCTGAGATCCGGCCACTGCACTTCGGCGTGGGCAACAGAGCGAGACTCCGTTTCCAAAAAAAAAAAAAAAGAAACTTTGATCCATGCGGGACGTGGATGCCGCTCCCCCACCGCACGAGCCAGGTCCCGGGAGAGATGCAGCATTCCCAGGGGGCCAGGAATGCAGCCGCTCATGTGCACCCTCTGTGTGCCTTTCCCCGCCCCCTTGGAGGTGGAAATCGCCCATGGGTCCCTGGCTCCGGATGCCGAGCCTCACCAAAGCGTGGTTGGGAAGGATCTCCCAGTGAGTGGCAGGATCCTGGCTGTCCCCGGGATAGCTGAAGACTGTCACCTGCTCCGAATTTCCGTCATCAACTTTCTCGACCAGCTTTCCCTGGTGGTGTGGACCATGCTGAGCTTTGGGCGCCCCCCCGTTTCCCACTAAGCCTGACCTGGGAAAATGGGGTGAGGTCTAAGCTTGCCTCTCTTCCTGGGCAGTGTGTCCATCCCTCCTTAGGACAGGAATTCCCACAGTTGCTGCTTTCCTGTGAGGGCCTCATGGTCAGCCTGAGACCTTTGGGTGCTCAGGCACCCTTCGTTTTTTGGGTTTTTTTTTTTCTCTTTTGAGTTGGGGTCTCCCTCCCACTGCACAGGCTGGAGTGCAGTGGTGCGATCTTGGCTCATCACAACCTCCACCTTCCAGCTTCAAACAATTCTCCTTCCTCAGCCTCCCAAGTAGCTGGGATTACAGGCATGGGCCACCACGCCCAACTAATTTTTGTATTTTTAGTAGAGACGGGGTTTTGCCATATTGGCCAGGCTGGTCTCGAACTCCTGACCTCAGGTGACCTACTTGTCTCGGCCTCCCAAAGTGTTAGGATTACAGGTGTGAGCCTCCGCACCCGGCAGGAGCCCCCTGTTTTATCTGGTTCTTAAATGTTTGTTACTACAGAAAATAAAACTCAGCTACTATACCCCCCCAAACCCCCCCCCCCAAAAATAAAACAACTCTGATCCCCGGATGGTAAGAAAACATGAATTACCTTTTTTTTTTTTTAGATAGAGTCTCGCTCTGTCGCCCAGGCTGGAGTGCAGTGGTGCGATCTCAGCTCACTGCAACCTCTGCCCCTCCAGGCTTAAGCCATTCTCTGCCTCAGCCTCCACAGTAGCTGAGATTACAGGCATGTGCCACCACGCCTGGCTAAGTTTTTGTATTTTTAGTAAAGACGGGTTTCACCATCTTGGCCAGGCTGGTCTTGAACTCCTGACCTCATGATCCACCTGCCTTGGCCTCCCAAAGTGCTGGGATTACAGGCATGAGCCACCACATCCGGCCGTGAATTACTCTTTATTGCAATTCCCCTGTCTCAATAAATAGGCTGTCTAGGCAGTGGGCAAGGTGAAACTACTGGGCAGTTATAGGAACACCCCATGCAACCATGTCACCCCCCCATTAGAGAAACGATCAATGTGCAGCAGAAGTCCTGTGTCAGGCCTGCAGAGGCCACGTCTGCAGCAGGAGTGAGGTCCATGGCATTGCACCCGATGTGATGCTACGTTCTTGTACCTGGTGCTGTGACAGATCCAGGCCACAGCTGGGGCCGGTGCGGTGGCAGAGCAGCTTCTTTCTAGCCGGTCACATCAGATGTCCTTGCCACAGGCATGTACAAGTGACCCTGACACTTCAGTTGGCAACTTTGATTTATTTCAGGTTTGTAGCCCCAAAGGCAGATGTCTTTAGTCTGCGGTTTTCCAGGTGGCAGGCTGTGTCCATTCCCTAGGGCCGCTGTACCAAAATGTCACAAACTCGGCTGGGCGCAGTGGCTCATGCCTATAATCCCAGCACTTTGGGAGGCCGAGGCAGGTGGGTCACGAGGTCAGGAGTTCAAGACCAGCCTGGCCAACATGGTGAAACCTCACCTCTACTAAAAAAATACAAAAATTAGCCGGGTGTGGTGGTGGGTGCCTGTAATCCCAGCTACTCAGGAGGCTGAGGCAGGAGAATCGCTTGAACCTGGGAGGCAGAGGTTGCAGTGAGCCAAGATCGTGCCATTGCACTCCAGCCTGGATGACAGAGTAAGACCTTGTCTCAAAAAAAAAAAAAAAAAAAAAATGTTGGGCCAGGTGCGGTGGCTCAAACCTGTAATCCCAGCACTTTGAGAGGCCAAGGCAGGTGGATCATGAGGTCAGGAGATCAAGGCCATCCTGGCTAACACGGTGAAACTCTGTCTCTACTAAAAATAGAAAAAATTAGCAGTGCGAGGTGCTGGGCGCCTGTAGTCCCAGCTACTTGGGAGGCTGAGGCAGGAGAATGGCGTAAACCCGGGAAGCGGAGCTTGCAGTGAGCTGAGATCGTGCCACTGCACCCTAGCTTGGGCCATAGAGCAAGACTCTGCTCAAAAAAAAAAAAAAAAAAGTAACAAACTGACTTAAAGCGACGGGAATGCATTCTCCCACAGTGCTGGAGGCCAGAAGTCTGGGACCAAGGTGTGGGGAGGGCTGCAGGGGAGGGCCCCCCCTTCTCCCTCCCGGGTTCGGTGTTGCTGGTGATCCTTGTGTTCTTTGGCCTGTGGATGCGTCGCTCCAGTCTCTGCCTTTACTGTCACATGGCCTGGACCCCGTGTGTCCCCATCGCATCTCTGAATTTCAGAAGGACACCAGCCATGGGATCCAGGGCCCCTCCTAGTCCAGTATGACCTCACCTGAACTCATTACATCTGCAGATGACCCTATTTCCAAATAAGGACACATTCTGAGGTTCCAGGTGGACATGATTTTGGAGGGGACAGTATTCAAATCAGTACAGTATTCAAAACAGCCGAAAAGTCAGTGAAAATACAGCAAGTTTTGTGAATGGGGGTATCGGCCAGTGCTACACGAATGGCTTGAATTCTGGTCACTGAGCCAAGTGACCATGTTTACTCTAGGTCCCGTGTCGCTGGCGCTGAGGCCAGACAGCAGCAGCCGTGGGGTCACTATCGGGTTCCAGCTCAGCAAGCCCCAGGTGAGCAGCCGTTTAGGGGGCCCTGGTGGATCGAGGGCCCTGGAGAGCCATGAGCTTCGCGGCCGTTTAGGGGGCCCTGGTGGATCGAGGGCCCTGGAGAGCCATGAGCTTTTCCTTGGATGGTGGAGTGCAGCGAGCAAAGTTTCCCCGAAAGGGAGAGTGGCCACTTTCGATGTGAAGCTGAGACATCACTGGGGGCCTGCCTGCTGCTGTTGAATACAGAGTCTTCCATTTGCGAAGAGAAGCTCTCGGGCCCTCCTTCCTTGTGGTTGTTGTGTCTGAGTTGAAAACCCTCCGAATGGGACTGTCAGGCTCCAGTCACAAGGCCTCTGCGGTCAGGTGGTCCGCTGGGACAAGAGCCCATTATAAGCTAATTGTGCTTTTTGAAAACAAGGGGGGTCGGGCGCGGTGGCTCAAGCCTGTCATCCCAGCACTTTGGGAGGCCGAGACGGGCAGATCACGAGGTCAGAAGATCGAGACCATCCTGGCTAACACGGTGAAACCCCGTCTCTACTAAAAAATACAAAAAACTAGCCGAGCCAGGTGGCGGGCGCCTGTAGTCCCAGCTACTCGGGAGGCTGAGGCAGGAGAACGGCGTGAACCCGGGAGGCGGAGCTTGCAGTGAGCCAAGATTGTGCCACTGCACTCCAGCCCGGGCGACAGAGCGAGACTCTGTCTCAAAAAAAAAAAAAAAAAGAAAACAAGGGGTGCACCCGGTAGTCAGTCTAGTCAGTCGTGTCAGAGAGTCAGTGAATCCACCAGCCCAAGGGGTGCATCTGGGCAGAGGCTGTTTCCCTTCTCTGGAGTTTCCAGATAACAGGATCATCAGCTACAGTGACTTGTCATTCAAAGGGATCACTAGGGCTGTGAGGCCCTGAAGGGAGACAGAGTGGCCCATGGCTCACCGGGCAGCAGCTAGAATAGCCTGTTGGTTCAGGCCCTGACGTAAGGAGGCTGATTTGTGGGTTCGCTAATTTATTGTATTTTTATTTTTTTATGTTTTGATACCGAATCTTACTCTGTTGCCCAGGCTGGACTGTAGTGGTGCGATCTCGGCTCACTGCAACCTCCGCCTCCTGGGTTCAAGCGATTCTCCTGCCTGGGCCTCCCGAGTAGCTGGGATTACAGGCACCCGCCACCACGTCTGGCTAATTTTTATATTTTTAGTAGAGACAGGGTTTTGCTGTGTTGGCCAGGCTGGTCTCAAATTCCTGCCCTTGGGTGGTCCACCCACCTCAGCCTCCCAAAGTTCTGGAATTACAGGTGTGAGCCACTGCATCCGGCCTGGGTTCACTAATTTAAGAAGTCAAGTGGAACGCCCAATTGAAGCACATCCTGTCTCCAGCACCCACACGGTCTAATCAAGTGCTGGTTAGATCAGCTCCATTTAAAAAAAAAACTTGAATCCAGCCGGGCACAGTGGCTCATGCCTGTAATCCCAGCCCTTTGGGAGGCCGAGGCAGGAGGATCACCTGAGGTCGGGAGTTCCAATTTTGTCCTTTTGGGTGAGATGAGGGAGCAAAGAGACAGCAGTTTTTCCTTGACTGGCTGAGGCAGTGAGTGCTGTGGACCCACCTACCTCATCCCAAGAAACTCCACCTGGTGAGACAGCCACTGGATGTTGTTGGTGTTTTGCCTGCCTCTGTGGACGAGGAGGTGTGAGAGTCCCCCTGCCTAGTTCTAGAGACCCAAGGCTTCTGAGCTGCCAACTGCAGGACATCATGTGTATCATGGCACCTGTGGACATCAGAAGTCCTAACCTGCCCACAGGTGGCCAGTGGTGGGGCGTGTATGGGGAGCACTCCTGAGTGTATTGGAGACCTTGCCATGTGAGTGCAAGCTGGTCTTGCTACTCATCTGCCGGTGGTGTGGCAAAAAGGTATCGGCAGGATCCAAGACAGTGTACCAAGTACCTGGAGCCCACGTGATGGGCTCGGTATGGTCACAGCGTCTAGGACAGCTAGGGCTCTGGGAGTAACGGTTGACTTCTTTAGGTGGTAATCCACTGTCAGCCACCAGCAGCTCTTTCTTTTTTTTTTTTTTTTTGAGATGGAGTCTCGCTCTGTCGCCCAAGCTGGGGTGCAGTGGCCGGATCTCAGCTCACTGCAAGCTCCGCCTCCCGGGTTCACGCCATTCTCCTGCCTCAGCCTCCCGAGTACCTGGGACTACAGGCACCCGCCACCACGCCCGGCTAGTTTTTTGTATTTTTTAGTAGAGACGGGGTTTCACCATGTTAGCCAGGATGGTCTCGATCTCCTGACCTCGTGATCCACCCATCTCGGCCTCCCAAAGTGCTGGGATTATAGGCTTGAGCCACCGCGCCTGGCCAGCAACTCTTACCTGTTCCACTGGCCATGCAAGGCTGTTGTGTTGCCATATTTCTTTTCTTTTTTTTTTTTTTTTTTTTTGAGACGGAGTCTCGCTCTGTCGCCCAGGCTGGAGTGCAGTGGCGCGATCTCGGCTCACTGCAAGCTCCGCCTCCCGGGTTCACGCCATTCTCCTGCCTCAGCCTCCCGAGTAGCTGGGACTACAGGCGCCCACAACCGCGCCCGGCTAATTTTTTGTATTTTTAGTAGAGACGGGGTTTCACCGTGGTCTCGATCTCCTGACCTTGTGATCCGCCCGCCTCGGCCTCCCAAAGTGCTGGGATTACAGGCGTGAGCCACTGCGCCCGGCCGTGTTGCCATATTTCTTTCTTTCTTTTTTTTTTTTTGAGATAGAGTTTCACTCTTGTTGCCTAGACTGGAGTGCAATGGCACGATCTCAGCTCATCGCAACCTCCGCCTCCCAGGTTCAAACGATTCTCCTGCCTTAGCCTCCCTAGTGGCTGGGATTACAGGCATGTGCCACCATGCCCGGCCAATTTTGTATTTTTAGTAAATACAGGGTTTCTCCATGTTGGTCAGGCTGGTCTCGAACTCCCAACCTCAGGTGATCCTCCCGCCTTGGCCTCCCAAAGTGCTGGGATTATAGGCATGAGCCACCGCACCCGGCTGTTGCCATATTTCATCTCTTTTTCTATTTTCTCTTGTTTCTTTTCTTTTCTTTTTTTTTTTTTTTTGACATGGAGTGTCACCCAGTGACTGTCACCCAGGCTGGAGTGCAGTGGCGTGCTCTCAGCTCACTGCAGTCTCCGCCTCCTAGGTTCACATGATTCTCCCGCCTCGGCCTCCTGAGTAGCTGGAACTACAGGTGTCCATTACCATGCCCGGCTAATTTTGTATATTTAGTAGAGACGGGGTTTCTCCATGTTGGCCAGGCTGGTCTTGAACTCCTGACCTCAGGCGATTCACCCGCCTCGGCCTCCCAAAGTGCTGGGATTAGAGGCGTGAGCCACCACGCCCAGCCTTTTCTTTCTTTTTTTGAGGCAGAGTCTCACTCTGTCGTCCAGGCTGGAGTGCAGTGGCACGATCTCGGCTCACTGCAACCTCCACTTCCTGGATTTAAGCAATTCTCGTGCCTCAGCCTCCCGAGTGGCTGGGATAGCTGGGACTACAGGTGCCCACCACCGCACCTGGCTAATTTTTTTGTACTTTTAGTAGAGACAGGGTTTCACCATGTTGACCAGGCTTGTCTCTAACTCCTGGGGTCAAGTGATCTAACCGCCTCAGCCTCCCAAAGTGCTGGGATGACAAGCATGAGCCACCACGCCCAGCCCCATATTTCATCTCTTACTCCCTGAACTGCCCTGAATCCCTTCATCAAGCCCTGATGCTCCTTTTTCCCTCTGGGATTCTGTACTGCTTCTGTTGGGCCGCCCTGAAGGTGGGTAGCAGGGAGATTCACGCATCCCACTGGCCCTTCTCTGCATGCAGCTCTTACGGAGAATCCCCTCTGGCCATTACAGGATGGGGAAGCATGGGGATAAAACACAGTTCCTACGCTGCAACACACACATAGAAGCATCAAAAACAGGGCATCAAATTGGCCCAAGACGCCACACCCACAAGATCCCATCGGTCTTCATTCCCCGTTTTGAACCATGTACACACCCAGTGAGCTGAGTCCAGATAACTTTTCCTTCCACTGGTCCAAACGGGAGAGTGATGTGGGCTACTCATACCCAATAGAGCCATCAAGTTTGAGTCCTTCTTCTCCTCCAAATTCCCCAGCACACTTGGATGGTGCCCACGGCCTTGGGAACCTCTAATCATCTTTCTTCCTAATGTAAGAAGAGGGGTGAGAGGGGGAGGGAGGAAGTCCATGAACAGAATTCTGCATGTATTTTCAGGCAGCGTGGCAATGGCTCATGACTCAGCCAGGGACCACTCAATGATTTTCAATCCATCCAATGCTCCATACCAGGCGGTGAGCTTCTCATAGCTGACCCATCTACTTCGGCTTTGGGAGCCCCATGACTTAGTAGCCATTGCCACGTGGTTTTCATTTATTTATTTATTTATTTATTTTTGAGACGGAGTCTCACTCTGTCACCCAGGCTGGAGTGCGGTGGCGCGATCTCGGCTCGCTGCAAGCTCCGCCTCCCAGCGTTCACGCCATTCTCCTGCCTCAGCCCCCCGAGTAGCTGGGACTACAGGTGCCCGGCCTGCCACATTGTTTTCAGCTGGATCTGTGGAGTTTGCACCATTTGGCCAACTCAAACTTGGTGTCACAGTGGCAATCTTATTTGAGGATTCTTCCTACTTTACACAAAATAATGTAAAATAAAAAATAAATGTAACAGTTTATTTGAGCATTAAAGGAGGCATGAATCAGGCAGAACTCAAAGCTGGAAGAGGCTCTGAGAGCTGTGCCTTAGCAGCATGAGCTGCTTTTACAGTAGGCTTTTACAGGCTGAATGTGGAAGTGAAGTACAGAAATAACTCAAGGCCAGGCCGGGCGCAGTGGCTCACGCCTGTCATCCCAACACTGGGAGGTCAAGGCAGGCAGATCACATGAGGTCAGGAGTTCGAGACCAGCCTGGCTAACATGGTAAAACCCCATCTCTATTAAAAATACAAAAATTAGCCGGGCATGGTGGTGCACACCTGTAATTCCAGCTACTTGGGAGGCTGAGGTGGGAGAATCGCTTGAACCCAGGAGGCAGAGGTTGCAGTGAGCCGAGATCATACCACTGCACTCCAGCCTGGGCAACAGAGCATGACTCCGTCTCACAAAAATAAAACAAAGAAAGAAAGAAAAGAAATAACTCAAGGCCTTTGCCTTATTTGGGTGTGGTCTGATCAGTGGCTGCCCGTGATTGGTTGAAACCTGGCTATCTGTTACCAGATAAACCACTGAGTAAAGTTGCCGGGTTGGTTAGTGTGAACTCCCAGTACAGAGATGGCCTCAGGCAATGACTGCTCCTTATTTTGCTTTAAACAACTTTAGGCCCGGTGCGGTGGCTCTCGCCTGTAATCCCAGCACTTTGGGAGGCTGAGGCAGGTGGATCACGGGGTTAGGAGATTGAGACCATCCTGGCTAACACGGTGAAACCCCGTCTCTACTAAAAATACAAAAAATTAGCCGGGCGTAGTTGCGGGTGCCTGTGGTCCCAGCTACTCGGGAGGCTGAGGCGGGAGAATGGTGTGAACCCAGGAGGCAGAGCTTGCAGTGAGTGAGCCAAGATCGCGAGATCGCACCACCGCACTCCAGCCTGGGTGACAGAGCGAGACTCTGTCTCAAAAAACAAACAAACAAACAAAAAAAAAAACAAAAAAAAAGAAAACAACTTTAATCCAGCCGGGCACAGTGGCTCATGCCTGTAATCCAAGCCCTTTGGGAGGCCGAGGCAGGCGAATCACCTGAGGTCGGGAATTCCAGACCAGCCTGGCCACCATGGTGAAACTCTGTCTCTACCAAAAATACAGAAATTAGCCGGGTGTGGTGGCAGGTGCCTGTAGTCCCAGCTACTCGGGAGGCTGAGGCAGAAGAATCACTTGAACCCGGGAGGCGGGGGTTGCAGTGAGCTGAGATCGTGCCATTGCAGTTCAGCCCAGGTGATAAGAGCAAAACTCCATCTCAAAATAAATAAATACATAAATACATAAATAAAAATAAATAAAATTGAGTGGCACCTCTTCCTCCTGCTCCAGCCACATAGGATATGCCTGTTTCCCCTTCATCTTGTGCCAGAATGATGTTTCCTGAGGCCTCCCCGAAAGGAGAAGCCGCTATGCTTCCTGTGCAGCCTGTGGAACTGTAGGCCAATTCAACCTCTTTTCTTTCTAAATTACCCACTCTCAGGTATTTCTTTGTACCCATATGAGAATGGACTAATACAGATGGTTTTGGGAGGTGGAGCCTTTGGGAGGTGACTAGATCATAAGGGTGGAGATCTCATGAATGAGATCAGTGCCCTTATAAAGGAGACCCCTGGCCAGGTGCAGGCCCTCAAGCCTGTAATCCCAGCACTTTGGGAGGCCGAGGCAGGTGAATCACCTGAGGTCAGGAGTTCAAGATCATCCTGGCCAACATGGTGAAACCCCGTCTCTACCAAAAATACAAAGAGCAGCCGGGGGTGGTGGCGGGCACCTGTAATCCCAGGTACTTGGGATGCTGAGGCAGGAGAATCACTCGAACCCGTGAGGCGGAGGTTGCAGTGAGCCGAGATCACACCATTACACTCCAGCCTGGGCAACAAGAGCGAAACTCCATCTCAAAAAAAAAAAAAAAGAGAGACCCCCCAAGAGACCCCCGACTGCATTCACCATGTGACGTCGTCTATGAGGAGGTGGGCGCTCAGCAGACACAGAATCTGCCTGCACCTCAATATTGGACTTTCTAGCCTCCATCACTGTGAGAAATGCATTTCCATTGTCTGCAAGCCACCTGGCTGGTGGCGTTTTTTCAAAGCTGAGTAGGACAGTCACCTTCCCTTCACCAGGACCGTAAACCCCGTGTCTCAGCTGTGGTTTCCTGCGAATTTGTCAGCAAAACCTCCTGAAATGGGCCAGAGCCCCCCTTGGAGCAGCAGGACATGCCACGGAGACCTTTCACCATGCCCTCAGGACAGATCTAGAGATGGCTGGAGAGGTCCAGGAACGGCTGGGCCACGCCTCCCTGACAACACTGGGGGCTCCACCCCCATGTGTCAAGGGAACCAAAGCTCCAAGGACTTCCTGGTTTCTGCCCTCGGTGGGAGTGGAGCCGTGGTCGGGAGACCCACGCCTCTGTGACTGTCAGAGAGGCGAGACCTTCTGCGCACACATCTTCTCTTTCTTTCTTTCTTTTTTTTTTTTTTTGAGACGGAGTCTCACTCTGTCGCCCAGACTGGAGTGCAGTGGCCGGATCTCAGCTCACTGCAAGCTCCGCCTCCGGGGTTCACGCCATTCTCCTGCCTCAGCCTCCCGAGTAGCTGGGACTACAGGTGCCCGCCACCTCGCCCGGCTAATTTTTTTTGTATTTTTTAGTAGCGACGGGGTTTCACCGTGTTAGCCAGCATGGTCTCGATCTCCTGACCTCGTGATCCGCCCATCTTGGCCTCCCAAAGTGCTGGGATTACAGGCTTGAGCCACTGCGCCCGGTCCTTTTTTTTTTTTTTTGAGACAGAGTCTTGCTCTTGTCACCCAGGCTGGAGTGCAGTGGTGTGATCTCGGCTCACCGCAACCTCTGCCTCCCTGGTTCAAGCAATTCTCCTGCCTCAGGCTCCCGATTAGCTGGGATTACAGGCATGCGCCACCAGGCCTGGCTAATTTTTTGTATTTTTAGCAGAGACGGGGTTTCACCATGTTGGCGAGGCTGGTCTCGAACTCCTGAACTCAGGTGATCCACCCGCCTTGGCCTCCCAAAGTGTTGGGATTACAGGCGTGAGCCTCCTCGCCCGGCCCTCTAAACCATTTTTAAGCACACAGTCGGTGACATTAGGTACGTTCACATTGTTGTGCAGGCCTCACCGCCACCCGGCTCCAGAACTTTTCCATCTTGTAAAACTGGTGTTGGCCGGGTGCGGTGGCTCACGCCTGTAATCCCAGCACTTTGGGAGGCCGAAGCAGGTGGATCACCTGAGGTCAAGGGTTCGAGACCAGCCTGGCCAACATGGTGAAACCCCCGTCTCTACTAAAAATACAAATATTAGCTGGATGTGGTGGCGGGCACCTATAATCCCAGCTACTCGGGAGGCTGAGGCAGGAGAATTGCTTGAACCGGGGAGACAGAGGTTGCAGTGAGCCCAGATCATGCCACAGCACTCCAGCCTGGGCAACAGAGTAAGACTCTGTCTCAAAAAAAAATGGCAAAATTGATCTCACTCGAGGTTTTGAACCTAATTACAGCTTTAAGACCCCATTTCCACAGAAAGTTGCATTTACACGTTCCAGGGGGACTTGTCTTTTGGGGGGCACCATTTAGCCCACTACAGTGTCAAAATCGAGGTGCAGGGCAGCACGTGTAGTGTGGTACCATTTTCAATTTTGTCATTTAGCTCTGTGTGTGTGTGTGCGCGCGGGTGCGTGCCTGTGTGCGTGCGTACGTGTGTGTGTCGGCCTCCTGTGTTCCTTCCATGCATAGGTGATTGAACCTCTCTTGCTATTTTTTTTTTTTTGTCGAGACAGAGTTTCGCTTTTGTCACCCAGGCTGGAGCGCAGTGGCGCGATCTCGGCTCACTGCAACCTCCACCTCCCGGGTTCAAGCAATTCTTCTGCCTCAGCCTCCTGAGTAGCTGGGATTACAGGCATGCGCCACCACGCCCGGCTAATTTTTTTGTCTTTTTAGTAGAGACGGGGTTTCACCATGTTGGCGTGGCTGGTCTCGAACCCCTGACGTCAGGTAGTCCACCCGCCTTGGTCTCCGAAAGTGCTGGGATTACAGATGTGAGTCACCGCACCCAGCCCTCTCTTGCTATTGGTAAAGGTACAAGTCGGGGGACTGAATCGTGTGCCCCCTAAATTCCTTCCTGGAAGCCCTAACTTGCCAGGAGAGGGTGTTGACGACGTGGCTTCTGGGAGGCGCCTGGGGTGGATGAGGTCATGAGAGTAGGCCTTAGTAGAAAGGGCACGGGTGCCCTCCCCTTGCTCCTTATCCCACCCTCGCGTCAGGACGCAGCGAGAAGGCACCAGAGAAGGGAGGCAGGGCTGAGCTCAGGGAAAAGGGCTGGGTCCTTAGAGAGGCCGGGGTTGGGAACCTCAGGCGGGTTCCCAGGGTCTGCCAGGAAGAGGACCCTCACCAGAGCCCGACCAGGCGACGCCCCCACCCCTAGTCTCCAGACCAATGGGGAGGAAACATCTGATTTGTGAGGATGCCCTGGCCGGCGGAGACAAACCTCAATCTTGCGGGTACTGGGGCCATGGTGCCGGTGCCTCCGGATCCTTCACAGCTGCTCAAGATGAGGGTGACGCAGAGAGACGCCGCCATAAACTCGAAGGTAGTGGATGGTGAAGCCGTCTCCGTGCTGTCATCCTGTGAGCGATGCTCAGTGTCTGGGGAACACAGGAGGCCATCCCACTGAGCGGGGCTGTGACTCGTGTTCATAACTGTCGTCACCCTAGTACCTGCCGCTCCTAGTACCACCCCAGGTGGGCTGAAGCACACAGGAAGGTGGGAGTGGAGAGAGAAGGGAGGCAGGGCTGAGCTCAGAGCTGCGTCCTTCGAGAGGCTGGGGCTGGGAACCTCAGGCAGGTGCCTCTAAAACAGCCCCTGTTGCTGTTGTTTTATTTCCTTATCACCGATGTCTTGAACGTTCATTGTAAAATATGCAGGTTCATCTGAGGCAGGACAGGCAGTCGAGAAAGTGACCATGTCTTCGGAACATGTCAACTGTGGTGACCCCACAGTCAACACAGTAAGCCCTAGTGTTGGCACTGTAGTCCCGCTCACTCAAGCGCAGCTGTCTCCAGTAGGGGCCTTCCCTGTAGATACCATGGCTTTTTTTTTTTTTTTTTTTTTTTTTTTTTGAGGTGGAGTCTCGCTCTGTCTCCCAGGCTGGAGTGCGGCAGGGCAACCTTGGCCCACTGCAACCTCCACTTCCCAGGTTCAAGCAATTCTCGTGCCTCAGCCTCCCGAGTAGCTGGGATTAAAGGCACCTGCCAGCACACCCAGCTGATTTTATTTTTATTTTTTTTTTGGAGACACAGTCTCACTGTATCCTCCAGGCTGGAGTGCAGTGGTGCGATCTCGGCTCACTGCAACCTCTGCCTCCCGGGTTCAAGCAATTCTCGTGCCTCAGCCTCCCGAGTAGCTGGGATTACAGGCACCTGCCAGCACACCCAGCTGATTTTATTTTTATTTTTTTTTGGAGACACAGTCTCACTGTATCCTCCAGGCTGGAGTGCAGTGGTGCGATTTCGGCTCACTGCAACCTCTGCCTCCCGGGTTCAAGCAATTCTCGTGCCTCAGCCTCCCGAGTAGCTGGGATTACAGGCACCCGCCACCACGCGCAGCTAATTTTTTTCTTTTTAATAGAGACAGGGTTTCACCTTCTTGGCCAGGCTGGTCTTGAACTCCTGACCTCAGGGGATCTGCCTGCCTCGGCCTCCCAAAGTGCTGGGAGTACAGGCATGAGCCACTGCACCCGGCCTTTTTTTTTGAGACAGGGCCTCATTCTGTTGCCCAGGCTGTGTGCAGTGGCATGATCACACGAGGGCTCACTGCAGCCCCGACATCCCAGGCTCGAGTGGCCCTCTTACTTCAGCCCTCCTGAGTAGCTAGGACTATAGGCATGTACCACCATGCCCAGCTAAGTTTTTATTTTTAGTAGAGATGGGATCTCACTATGTTGTCCAGGCTGCTCTCAAACTCCTGGCCTCAAGCGATCCTCCCCCATCTCGCCTCCCAAAGTGCTGGGATTCCAGGTGTGAGGCCCTGTGCCCGGGCAGAGGAATGACGTTCTGGCCCAGGCTATGTGGGTGAGTGGTGAAGCTGTCATGCTGAGTGAAAGAATCCAGGTACAAGGGTCCATATGGTCCCGATTCCATTTCTACGAAATGCCCAGAACGGGCAAATCCACAGACACAGGAAGATGAGTGGTTGTCATGGGCTGGGGGAGGAGGAATGGGGACCCAGTGCCGATGCAGAGGGCATTTGCCTTTGCGGGGAGGAAAATGTTCTGGAGGTGATGGTTGCAAAACATTGGAGCCGTTGCAAAAAACTGAAAGGACTAAACCATACACGTTTTTTTCTTTTTTTTTTTGAGACAGAGTCTCACTCTGTCGCCCAGGCTGGAGTGCAATGGCACCATCTCAGCTCACTGCAACCTCTGCCTCCCGGGTTCAAGTGATTCTCCTGCCTCAGCCTCCCAAGTAGCTGGGATTACAGGCATGCAACACCACACCCAGCTAATTTTTGTATTTTTAATAGAGACAGGGTTTTACCATGTTGGCCAGGCTGGTCTCGAATTCCTGACCTCGGGTGATCTGCCCGCCTCAGTCTCTCGGGATTACAGGTGTCGGGATTACAGGCATGAGTCACCATGCCCGGCCAAATTGTACACTTTAGAATAATTTTATGTTATATGAATTTCACTTCAATAAAAAAAATACAGGTAAGGGCTGGGTGCAGTGGCTTACGCTTGTAATCACAGCCCTTTGGGAGGCTGAGGCAGACGGATCACTTGAGGTCAGGGGTTCGAGAACAGCCTGGCAAACATGGTGAAACCCCGTCTTCACTAAAAATATAAACATTAGCTGGGCATGGTGGTGGCCATCTGTAATTCCAGCTACTCGGGAAGCTGACGCAGGAGAATCACTTGAACCCCCAGGTGGAGGCTGCAGTGAGCCGAGATCACGCCACTGCACTCCAGCCAGGGCAACACAGCGAGACTCTGTCTCAAAAAAAAAAATACAGGTAAGCAAAAATAAGTAAAGTTGGCCAGGCGTGGTGGCTCAAGCCTGTAATCCCAGTACTTTGGGAGGCCAAGACGGGCAGATCACGAGGTCAGGAGATCAAGACCATCCTGGCTAACACGGTGAAACCCCATCTCTACTAAAAAGAATACAAAAAACTAGCCGGGCGAGGTGGCGGGCGCCTGTAATCCCAGCTACTCGGGAGGCTGAGGCAGGAGAATGGCGTGAACCCGGGAGGCGGAGCTTGCAGTGAGCCGAGATCCGGCCACTGCACTCCAGCCTGGGCGACAGAGCCAGACTCCGTCTCAAAAGAAAAAAAAAAAAAATAAGTAAAGTCATCTCTAACCTGGCCATCCAACAGATGGAATCGCTGTGGAACCCAAATGTATAGCCTTCCAGATTGAGACCTTTGTTGTTGTTGTTGTTGAGACGGAGTTTCACTCTTGTTTCCCAGGCTGGAGTGGAGTGCAGTGGCGCCATCTTGGCTCACCGCAATTTCTGCCTCCCGGTTTCAAGTGATTCTCCTCCCGAGTAGCTGAGATTACAGGCGTCCGCCACCATGCACGTCTAATTTTTTGTATTTTTAGTAGAGATGCGGTTTCTCCACGTTGGTCAGGCTGGTCTGGAACTCCTGACCTCAGGTGATCTGCTGGCTTCGGCCTCCCAAAGCGCTGGGATTACAGGCATGACAGATTGGGAACTTTTGACTGTATGTACACACACACAGTCACACACCCGCATAAACATACACAGGCACAAACATATGCATTTTGCATGAAGGGGTTACTTTACCTTGTTGCTTTTTTCAAAAGAACTGAGGGTCTGGGCCATATTATTGGGAATCACGCATTCTAAGCAAAGTTTTAAACATGATGTTTTCCTGCTGATGATATGTAAAAGAAATTGTCTAACCACTAGCGTAAGAGCAAAGCTTCCCTTGGGCATCAGAAAGACTGTTTTTCCCCCAACATCGTGGACTTCGTGAGGGTGACCAGGCAGCGCCGTGAGATCCCCATGGGTCTTCAGGCTGATCTCCAGGATCCTGGGGAATGCACACCTCCTTTAAAGGGTTATGAATTCAAGCTCAGGACATTCTGGACCTCAGCTCCATTGTAAAAGTTGCTGCCAGGTGTGGTGGCTCACGCCTGTAATCCCAGTACTTTGGGAGGCTGAGGTGCGTGGATCGCCTGAAGTTAGGAGTTCGAGACCAGCCTGGCCAACGTGGTGAAACCCCGTCTCTACGAAAAATACAAAACTTAGCCGGGCGTGGTGGCATGTGCCTGTAGTCCCAACTACTGGGGAGCTGAGGCAGGAGAATTGCTTGAACCCAGGAGGCGGAGCTTGCTGTGAGCCAAGATCACACCACTGCCCTCCAGCCTGGGTGATAGAGCAAGGCTCCATCTCAAAAAAAAAAAAAAAAAAAAAGTTGCATAATGTTCTGTTTCCTGGATTGACCATAATTTATGCAACCAAGTGTCTCTTGGCGGGTACTTAGGATGTCTAAACTGTCTCTTTTTCTGAAACACGCTGTTTGAACAACCTGGCTATATCTGTGTCCTGTTCCTTAATTATTAACTGGGGACAGATACCTGCAGGTGACATATCTGGGTCAGAGACTTTGAACGGTGGCTTTCTATCATAACATGCTCCAGAGAGCAGGGTACCCCTGGGGGTAGCTGAGGCAGAGACTCAGCCCACCCCTGTCCCGTGGGACTCCCTGGTGGCAGTGCTGTCTGGACTCTGGGGCGGCGGCCCTTCCGGGGGCTGCTTCCCTCCCTCCCCAGGCACAACCTTGGGGGAACGGACTGCCCTTCCCTGGGCCCTCAGCCTCACTGGCCCCCCCACTCTCCCCTTGTCCTGTCGTCTTTTGGTCTCAGAATTCATCTGGTCCTGCCTTGCCTTGGAGCCAATGCTATTCCCTATGCCAGGAATTCCAACCACCTGCCTGATGGCCCCGTGAGTAATCCAGCCCGGGGCACCAGCTCATATGACCCCACTTTCACGGAGGCCCTCCTGATCCAACAGGTCAGGCAGACGCCCCTTACTGCCGGGCTCCCCACCAGCCCCCAAGCCCCCTCTGGTTGGACCCACCTTGCCTGTCTCTGTCCCAGTGCTGACCACCGCTGATTCCACACCTCAGCACCGGGGTGCAGGCATGTACACGCACGCTTGCACACGCAGGCACACGCAGGCACACACAGGGGCTAGCTCCCTCACGCCCACTCATGCACACACACTCCTTCCGGAGAGCTCACTGACACACGTGCACTCACACTCACACACACATGCACTCACACACACACACACACATGCACTCACACTCACACGCACGCGCGCACACACACACATGCACTCACTCACACACATGCGCGCGCACACACACACCCACCCCCGGGGCTTGCTCAGCTCTGCTACGAAGGGCCCCTTGGGCTCGGGCCACTGACCCTGTGGCTCCTGACACTCCCAGTCCAGGGTCCCGTCAGCCTCCCCCTGAGGCTGGCTGGACTTTGGCCTGATCAGGGTCACTCAGTGGAGCTGTGACCTTCTCTTCCTCCCTCTAGAAGCTCCTGCAAGACCAGCAAGGCTGTTGAGATAGGGATGGAGGAGGGAGGAGAAGGGAGAGGGAAGAGGGGAAAAGAGAGGGAGGAGGAAGGAGAAGGGAGAGGGAAGAGGGGAAAAGAGAGGGAGGAGGAAGGAGAAGGGAGAGGGAAGAGGGGAAAAGAGAGGGAGGAGGGAGAGGGAGGATAGGAGGGGAAAGGAGTAGGGGAAGGGGGAAGGAGGAGGAGGGGGAAGAAGGAGGAGGAGGAGGAGGAAGGAGGGGGGAAGAAGGAGGAGGGGGAGGAATCTTGCAATCTGAATAAAAACATCTTTGGGCCTCATTTGCACCCCAGGCCTCCCAGGCTCCGCCAGGCTGGGTGGGTGGAGGTGCAGGCGTGGTGGAGAGCTGAGTCCTGGATTGGCCTAGCAGATCCCAGTCCTGGCTGCACCGCCTCAACCACGTGACTTTGAGGGGCAGCTCCTCCTCTTGACACCCCGGCTGTTCACCTGCACAGCCTGGAGCCCACCCTGCTCTCGGGGCTGTGGTGAAAATCTACTAAGGGCCTGTATTGCAGGATGTGGTGTCGCCCAGGGAAGTTCGGCACCGGGTCGAATCTCCAGGCCTCCTGTTGTGATTTAATCACAGCCTGCCTGTTGAGACCTAGTGTGTCCTACAGGGTGTGCGGCGGCCAGGCCCCAGGGGGCCCCAGGGACCCTCACGTCCCAGCATCTGTCACCTCCTGCCCTCCCACGGTCTTCTGGGCTTGGTCTGTGCACCCCACAGCCCTTGGTTGGAGTGTTGGTGTGTGGCTTCTCGGGCACCCAGGGCCCCTCAGTGGGGCTGGTTAGACCTAGTACTATGGCATAGACAGTAGCTGGTGCCAGGTGGCCCTGGCCGGAGATGTTCAGGGCACATGGACGTGCAAAGACAGCAGGTGGCCGAATACCTGTCACCATCCCATATCACATAAGGGGAGCAGTGCACACCAGCACTGGCCGTGCGAGCCCGCGGTGTGTAAATTCCTCCTGGGAACTTGTTCCCCAGCACTGCCGAGAGCTGTGAGTGCAGCTGACATGGGGGTCCCCGAGAAGAGTCCTGGCCCTGCTATGCTCGACTCTGCAGGGGCGCTCAGCCCTCCTCGACAGAAGGTGCACCTGGGAGATGGAGCTGGAGGCACAGAGTGAAGCAGGGGTTTCACCTAAAGCTCAGACAGATCAGGACTCGGGAGCCTGCCTGGGGGGACGTTTTGGGCTCCCCCACAAGACTGAGCTCCCTGAAGGCAGGCTTTCCTCAGGGGGTGCAGCCTGCCATGACCCTGGGCCTGTGGGGACGGGCTCCTGACCGGCTGTGGTCTCACCAGGCAGACGCTGGGCTCCTGCCAGGCCTCTTGACCGTCTGTCTTGCCAGCCAGGATACATTCTCCTGGCCTGCCTGGCTTCTGCCTGCTTATTAAGAAGGTGGCATGAGAACAGAGCCACCCGCCATTGCCCCAGGGCTGCAGCCAGGTGCTCTCAGTAGGGTTCTCTGGGAGGCTGGGGAGGAGGAAAGCCCAGGGCCCGGGCCCTGTGCCCAGCCAGGCCCCACAGTGCTGGGCAGTGCAGTGCCCAGAAAAAAAAAGAAAGTGTTTTTTTGAGACAGAGTCTCACTCTGTCGCCCAGGCTGGAGTGCAATGGCGCGATCTTGGCTCACTGCAAGCTCCGCCTCCCGGGCTCAGGAGATTCTCCTGCCTCAGCCTCCCAAGTAGCTGGGATTACAGGCACCCACCACCACACCTGGCTAAATTTTGTATTTTCAGTAGAGATGGGGTTTCACCATGTTGGCCAGGCTGATCTCGAACTCCTGACCTCATGAACTGCCCTCCTCGGCCTCCCAAAGTGCTGGGATGACAGGCGTGACCCACCGCACCCGGCCGGAAATGAAATTTTAGGGTGGAAGATTGTATCTGTCTTTATACCAACACACTCATAAAATATAATTTTCAATGTATTTTTATCAAGGAAGGAGCCCGTGAAGGCAAAGGGCCTGGGCCTCCAGGTTCCATCGCGCCCTGTGTGGAGGGTCCTGGCCATAGGGCAGTGGCCAACGGGGGGCTCTGGGAATGCGGATGAAAGACACATAAAAACTTGAAGGAATGGGGAAGGAGAAAGGGAGAGAAGGCAGGGCAGGAGGGAGAGAGGGAAAACTAGTTCCTCAAGCCCAGAAACTAGGATGGGTGGACTTGCAGAGGGGGAGGAACTTTAGTGCACCCCAAATGCCCACAGGCGCCTGTGCAGTTCCAGTCATGCGGGCAGAGCCGCAGTCTCAGGGCCGCTCCATGCTGGTTCCCACTAGCGGCCTGGGGGCACCCACTGCTTGGAGGACGCACCCTGTGGGTGGGGCTGGGAGGCTCCCGCCTGGCGCTGCTGAGCTTTGGGGGGGCCCTGGATTCCCGGGGTGGTAACCGCCCGGCCCAGCGCTCATCAGAGGACTCTGGGATTGTGCGGAAGGTTATTGTACAGCAAGTGGCACGTGCCCCTGGGGACGCTTTAAGCATCAAGGATGGTAGATCTAAAGCCGTGACCTCCTGTGGGCTCCCCCGTCCTCCCTCCATCCCTCTGCCCTGTGACCTCCTGCTGCCTCCACCCCACCCCACCCCTACCCCCAGGCCTGTCCACCAGAGGGCAGTGCCACCCAGCCCTTTGCAGAGGCCTGGGGGAGAATCCAGGGGTGGCGTTGGGGGACTTGGCCCTAGGCTGGGGAAGGGGTCGCCAGCTGAAATACAGGACACCCAGTTAGATCTGAGTTTCAGATAAACAATAAATAACACTTTTTAGTATAAGTAAGTCCCCATATTACACGGGACATGTTTATGCCAAAATATCCTTCCTTGCCTACCTGAAGGGCAGATCTAACCTGAGCCCTGGGTTTTGTTTTGTTTGCTAAATCTGGCAACCCTGCCAGGGTAGGTGACCTGCAGGCTTTTGGAAGGCAGCTTCCAGGAGCAGGAAGGGCTCAGCAGGGATGGCCACTATCTGCCACGCCTGCCCGAGGCTGTGACTCAGGCGGGGCTGTGACTCAGGCTGGATGTGGCAGGGCGGGGAGGGTGGGAGCTGTAGGGCTGAGCTGCTGGACCTTAACCCTCACCTCTTACCCAGAGATGAGAGGACCTGACCCACTCACCTGCACTCAGGGCTCTTGGGCTGAGGCCTTGGGGTGGTGAGGGGTGTGGTACGGGTCAAAGGCCAGCGCCCTGTGTCCTCTGCTCTGGAAGGCACGGCTGCAGTTGTAGTTAGTGTTGCTGACACCCTCTAGACTTGTGCAGTGCACAACCTGCACAGCCGGGCTGGGCATCCGGGGCAGCTCTTCTGGCTCCCTCCTTACCCAGGTCCTGCCCTCCTCTCTCCCTGCCTGCCGTGTACCTGCCCTCACTGTCCTCACTGTGGCCTCTGGACTCCTGCTGGAGTTTCCTTGATTACATTAAGTCACAACTCCATCTGGAATTCCACCTCGGCTCAGACACCCCAACCTTCTGGGATGGAAAAGAAAATGGAGAGTGTGGGGCAGACACCGGCTGAGGCGAGGGCAGGTCAGCACAGCCTCATGTCCGGCAGAGGGTGTCCAGGTTCTTGGCGTCACGAACAAAGAATTGGATAAAATGCACAAAGCAACGGAAGACGGATGCAGTAAAGGCAGAGATGTGAACATGAACGCACACTCCACAGTCGGAGCGGGGCTGAGCACAGAGGCTCGGGAGCCCTGTTACAGAACTGCCTGGGGTCTAAAGACGCTCCATAGGTTTCCATTGGTTACTTGGTCTATGTCCTATGTAAACGAAGAGGCTATTTCCTGTCGTAGCTGATGTGTTTCCATTTGATTTCGTTCTAGGAAGTGGTGTCAATCTGCCTTAGGTTCCCAGGCTCCAGACCCTCTTCTCCTGCCTCACTGGGGCCCAGTCACTGCCGTGTCTGGATATCGGAGGCTGCCCCCTGGCCCTGGCTGAAGCCCACCCGCCATCCCCGAAGGCCGCTCTTTCCCGGGACGTCCAGAGGCTCTTGGCGAGTTGCCTCCCAGGTGGCCCCTGACGACTGAGGGCTCCAGACTCCGCACAGTCCACACTGCCGCTGGGATCGGAAGGGCAGATTTCTCCCTCCTTCAGTCACACATTCGCTCACCAATGGGGCACCTGCCATGGGGCACCTGCCGTGGGCCAGGAGCAGAGAAGAGGGTGCTGGAAGCGAACCCCTGGGTGGGCAGTCGGGTGGGGAGGGAAGCCCGCCTGCCTCTGCCCACAGGAGCACAGGCCTGGCATGGCCCCGGGACACAGGCCCCTGCCCCACACGGCAGCACAGATTCCCATGGCCCAGGCCTGGCATGGTTCAGAGGAGGACACAGACACTAGGTCCACTGGGGGCTGCCTGGACTCCCTGGAAACTGTGTGCACCACCCGGGTGACCGAGAGTGCGGCACTCAGCCTGAGAAGGATCCGGCGTTGGGAGCCCCTGCAGGTGCCAGAGCCAGTCCTCGGACACTTCACCGAAGGAGACTGCAGCCTCGTCTGGCACCTGATGGCCCTTTGTTGAGGTCTTGCTGTTTCTCTCATTTGGTGGAAGAGGGGACTGCGGCCCTCAGAGGAGAAAGGACCTGCTCAGGTCACGGCCTGTGGCACTCAGGCCTCGGCTTTGACTGTGATGCTGAGCCCCTAACCC